CTCCAGACCTGCCCACCACAGCCAGTTTCCCACACAGTCTGGGACCAACTAGGTGACAGACAAGAATCCTTACCATGGAACCTCATCCAGACCCAGCCCCAGGGTTGCACAGGTTGATGACTGGAAGCTGGGACTCCAGCCCAAGCTGGGGAAGGGTCCTTTCCCTCTGGGCTCCTGTGTTTCCACCTAAGCCCAGCTCACCCACGAACCAGTCATATGCTGGCAGATGAGACTAAAAGACATAGTCTCAGAGAGTCTGCAGGCAGACCAGGAGCCCAGGCCTTCCAGGATGAGACCTGAGGCCATGCACATTCCTGGCCTGGCTATGTCTGTTCATAGAACTGCCTCCAGTTGGCCAGCCCTGTCTCCAGACTCATGTCTACACAGCTCAACTCGACCATCTCAGGGCCCGAGGGCAGAAGCAGCTTAAGTTGGGAAGGGGCATCTGAGAAGGAGGTGAGCCCCCCCTCCATCTGCCTGGGAGAAAGGGACCCATGCTGGAGACTCAGGGATCAGGTGCATCTGATGACAAGCACAGAGGACTGGCTGGGCAGTGCCAGGAAGGCCATTGTCCAGGCCCAGGCCTTCCTGGTGTCACATCCAAGGCTCTTCTGGAAGGCACTGGCTTTGGGTCCCTGTACCCTCTCCTAGCACAAGGGCCTTGCATCAAAGGGTTGGCCCAAATAAATGGGAGCTTGGGAAGCACCAGCAGTCATTCTTGGCTCAAATGTCTACCTGACCTGGGCATAGGGTACAGTGGTGGGCAAGAGAAGAAAGGTCCCTGCCTTCCTGAAGCTCCCATTCTGATGGAGAAACAGGCAAGAAACAATCCTAGCACACAGCATGCCAGATGGTGCTCACCGCCATAGAGGAAGAGCCAGACTTCCTTCCTTCCTTCCGTCCGTCCATCCTTCCTTCCTCACTGCCATAAAGAGCCTCCCTCCCTCCCGCTTACCTTCCTTCCCTCCTTCTCTCCCTCCCTCCTTCCTTCCTTTTTTTGAGATGGAGTCTAGCTCTCTTCCTCCCTCCCTCCCTCTCTCTCCTCTCTCTTTCTTTGAGATGGAATCTAGCTCTGTCACCCAGGCTGGAGTGCAGTGGTGCGATCTCAGCTCACTGAAACCTCCTCCTCCCAGGTTCAAGGGATTCTCCTGCCTTAACCTCATGAATAGCTGGGATTACAGGCACCAGGCACCATGCCCAGCTAATTTTTGCATATTTAGTAGAAACAGGGTTTTACCATGTTGGTCAGGCCGGTCTTGAACTCCTGACCTCAAGTGATCCACCCACCTTAGCCTCCCAAATTGCTGGGATTACAGGTGTGAGCCACCGCGGCCAGCCTCCAGATATTTTCTTTCTTTCAAAATGGGGACTTGCTGTGTCACCCAGCTGGAGTGCAGTCGTGCAATCATGGCTCACTGCAGCCTCAAACTCCTGGGCTCAAGCAATCCTCCCACCTCAGCCTCCCAAGTAGCTGGGATTATAGGCGTGTGCCACCATGCTGGGCTAGACTGTTATTTTAAATGAGTTGCCTGCCCGAGACTTTAGTAAAGACCCGAAGGAATCAGGGGAGAGTGTGGTTTGGGTATCTGCAGGGGAGCTGAGTGCAAAGACCCTGGGACAGGAGCTATGCAGAGCGTATAACGCTGAGTTGAGGGTACGCGGGAGGCCTGGGCAAGTAAGGTGAAGTGGGGAGCAGTGCCAGACATTGTGGGGACACCAGCATGGGAGGACCATGGATCTGTAGGGCAGGCACCCCCAGAGATGCCACCTTGTACACATCCTATTCTGTCCTGGCCCATGGTTCTGCCTTTCCACCTGGCTGGGAGCTAGGGGGGCCGTTATGGTGTCTCCCCAAGCCTGTTTCCTCATCTGTAAGGTGAAGATCACAACGGTGTTAGTCTGTTAGGGCCTCCTTAAAAAAGCGCCAAGGGCTGGGCACAGTAGCTCACACCTGTAATCCCAGCACTATGGGAGGCCGAGGTGGATCACTTGAGCCCAGGAGTTTGGGACCAGTTCAGGCAACACAGTAAAACCCATCTCTACAAAAAATACAAAAATTAGCTGGACGTGGTGGTATGCACCTGTAGCCCTATCTACTCAGGAGACTGAGGTGGGAAGATTGCCTGAGCCCAGGAGGCAGAAGCTGCAGTGAGCTGTGATCTTGCCGCTGCACCCTAGGACAGGCAACGGGGTGAGACCTTGTCTCAAAAAAAAAAAAAAAAAAAAAAAAGGCATCACAAATGGAACCACTTAAGTAACACATTTATTGTCACACAGCTCTGGAGGCTGGAAGTCCATGGTCAGAGTGACAGCAGCGCTGCTCCCTCTGAAGCCCCCAGGAGATGCTCTGAAGCAGGCCCCTCTCTCAGCTTCTGGTGAGACCTTGCTCGTGGAGAATTCGTCTTCACACAGTGTTCTCCCTGTGTGCCTACCCATGTCCAAATCTTCCTTTCCTTTTTTCTCCATCATCCAGGCTGAAGTGCAGTGGTACAATCATAGCTCACTGCAGCCTTGACCTCCTGAGCTCAGGTGATCCTCCTACCTCAGCCTCCGGAGTAGCTGGGACGACAGGTGTGCACCACCATGCCTTGATAATTTAATTATTATATTTTTTTCTGAGACAGATTTTCGCTCGTTACCCAGGCTGGAGTGCAATGGCGCGATCTCTGCTCACCGCAACCTCCGCCTCCTGGGTTCAAGCAATTCTCCTGCCTCAGCCTCCCGAGTAGCTGGGATTACAGGCATGTGCCACCATGCCCAGCTAATTTTTGTATTTTTAGTAGAGACGGGGTTTCACCATGTTGACCAGGATGGTCTAGATCTCTTGACCTCGTGATCCACCTGCCTCAGCCCCCCAAAGTGCTGGGATTACAGGCGTGAGCCACTGCAGCTGGCCGAATTTGTTTTTAGAGATGGGGTCTTGCTACATTGCCCAGACTAATCTGGGCTCAAGCAGTCCTCCAGCTTTGGCCTCCCAAAGGGTTGAGATTGCAAGTGTGAGCCACTGCACCCAGCCCAAATCTTCCTTTTTTGTTTTTTTAGATAGAGTCTCCCTCTGCTGCCCCGGCTGGAGTGCATAGTGCGATCTTGGCTCATTGCAACCTCTGCCTCCCGGGTTCAAGCGATTCTTCCACATCAGCCTTGCACTACAGGTGTGAGCCACCACGCCCAGCTAATTTTTTTGTTGTTGTTGTTTTGTTTTTTTTTTTTGGTAGAGACAGGGTTTCGACATGTTGCCCCATGCTGGTCTCGAACTGCTGAGCTCAAGCAATACTTCTGCCTCAGACTCCCAGTGCTGGGATTACAGGCATGAGCCACTGCACCCAGCCTAAATCTTCCTCTTTTTTTTCTTTTAGAGATCGTGTTTCGCTCCTGTTGACCAGGCTTGGAGTGTAATGGCACAATCTTGACTTACCACAACCTCTGTCTCCAAGGTTTAAGTGATTCTCCTGCCTCCCTCCAGAGCAGGGGATTACAAGCATGTGCCACCACACCCAGCTAACTTTGTATTTTTATTTTTAAAATTTAATTAATTCATTTATTATTATTATTTTTTAAAGATGGGGTTTCACCATGATGGCCAGGCTGGTCTTGAATTCCTGACCTCAGGTGATCCACCCACCTTGGCCTCCCAAAGTGCTAGGTTTACAGGCGTGAGCCACCATGCCCGGCCAAATTTTGTATTTTTAGTAGAGATGGGGCTTCACCATGTTGGTTGGGCTTGTCTCAAACTGCCAACCTCAGGTGAACCGCCCACCTCGGCCTCCCAAAGTGCTGGAATTAAAGGCTTAAGCCACTTTGCCCAGCCCAAGTCTTCTTTTATAAGGATAGTGTGATACTGGATTAGAGCCCACACTGATGACCTCACTCTACTTTGGTTTCCCCTGGAAAAACCCTATCCCCAAATACAGTCACAATTTGAGGTACTGTGGGTCAGGACACTGATACACCTTTTTAGGGGGATGCGACTCATAACACCAGTAGAATCACCATTGAGGGCTGTGCTTCCTTAGGGGGCTCAGGCTGCTGGGGAGCCCTGGGCAGGATGCGGGCAGAGGGACTCATGCAAGAGCAGGGACTGCTCTTCCTGGGCAGGCCGGGCCTCTGGGCAGAGGTGAACACCCGGGGGGGCTCTTCATGAGGGCAGGGCACTATCCAGGTTGGGTGCTAGCGAGGGACATGGTGACTGCTGGAGCAGATGAACCTGTTGGCAGCAAGGGCAGTGCCCCCAGCTGGGAGCCTTTTGTCCTGACATAGGGGACTTGGGGCCTTCGTTTCTCCTCGGGCCTGGGGGTACAACCTGGATCACAGCTGGGAACCTCTTCTGAGTTCAAAGTGAGCCATGGAAGGCTCTGAGCCCAGCAGAGTGGTCTGGGCAGGAAGGAGGAGGGACAGGGAGGCCCCTGCTCCTCCCTAGGTGGACCCGCATCAGGTCACACTCAGGCTGGGAAGCCCTGGTGCAGGTCCACACCCACCCTGCACTCACGGATCCGAAAAAGACAAGTTAGGGGTTGGGTGCAGAGGCTTAGAAAGGCTTGGGTCTCAGCATTGGATATCCGGGACCCCCTTATACTCGGCCAGGCCCAGGGATGCAAACTCTTTAGAGCTGGCCCCAAACCAGGAGCTCCCGGGGCTGAGACAGATGCACACCCACCCTCCTGTGCTTCCTAGCATCCCCTGGTCCCCACCCTCCAACGGAAGTCCAGGCCAGCCATGCCTCCCCCTCCAGAGGGGCCCCCACAGGCTCCACAGCGACCTGATGTCCCTGGGTGGGTGGCTGGCCCCATAACCAGCACCTACCATAGCCCACGCACATGGGTTCTCTCACAGCGGCCCCTGCCCAAGGACAGATGGACTGACCCACAGGCATCCATCAGTGGTGCCGAAGAAGCCGTGAGGTGGGAAGGGAGGTGGGAAGGCCCTCGTCCAGGGTGTCTGATCACACGGGAGACGCAACAGCTCCCACTGGCACCCTGCACACAAGGGAAAGGCCTCAAAACGCGCTCACCACAGCCTCAGTTTTATTATCAGCAGCTCAGATTCAGGTACAGATTCCTACGAAGTTTGCCTCACTGGCAAAGGGGAGGGAGAGGGCAGGGCTGGCTGAGATGGGGCCGCCAGAGCCATGGCCTCCAGCTGGGCAAGCGGGGGTCTGAGGGCCCCTGGTACACATGGAGCCTCCCGGCTCACGTAGCATTGTCCCCAACACACAGGACACCTGGTACACTCGAGGCCACTAAGCCTGCACTTCTGTTATCAGAGTGGGTTTCTCTCAGGTCTTCTTTGTGCCCCATTCCAAATGTGGCTGTCTCCTCTGCAGGGCCAGGTGTGCTTGTCAAGAATCCAAGCACACCTGTGCTCTGTGGCCACAGGCGAGGAGGGGCCGCTTTTAAATACCAGTCTATTCCTGTTGTTGGATCAGAACAAAAATCCACTGGCCAAAAGCACATGAGGGGTGACAGTCACCCTGCTGCCTCATCCAACATGGTGTGTGTGTGTGTGTGTGTGTGTGTGTGTGTGTGTGCAGCTGTGCACACGTGTAGTACACCTATGCATGTACGTGTGCACACGTCTGTGCATGTGTTGGTGCACGTATGCGCCTTGCGTGTGTGTGCTTGTGCACATGCAGAGGTGTATGGGTAATGCTGTGTGTGTGCCTGTGTACCTGTGCTGGAGTGGGCTCAGATGTATCCACGTGTTCATGGTATATCTGGGCCAGCCCTAGACCTGATGTCAGACTCTGCTGCTCCCCACTGGCATAAAGGCAGACCCTGAGCTGGGCGTGGGGACACAGACGGGTAACACGCAAACCACAGGGCCCTGAGCTTGGATACTGGCCACGCCACAGGCAGTGCAGTGCAGTATGGCCAAGGAAGGTTTCCCGTCCAAACTGTCCCCAAGGCGGGGCCTCCCAGGAGCCCACTGGGCACGCCCAGAAGTGGGGTTAGCTCTGCAGTGTGAACTCGTGAGTGCTGGTCTCCCAGTGGGAGGGGTCCTTGTTCAGCATGCTACGCTCAGTGAAGGTCACATGTCCATCTGCATCTACCAGGATGATGGTGTTGGTTCTGAAAGAGAGCAGGGGTCCTCATTCACCTCGTGTCCCTCAGCCCTGTCCTGCCTGTCACAGCCACGGCTAAGGCAGGAATCCAGGCAGGTAGAGGCAGGACCCCCATGCCTGGAGGCTGTGCCAGGTCACAGAGGAGTAGCAGCCTCAGCTTGGGGATAAGGAGGGACCATCAGGGGCGTGTGGGCTCCCAGCTGGCTCCACAGGCCCACACTTGGTGAGTCCCGCCACCTCCACTGGGAACCAGTCCACCCCGCCCTGCTCTCCCGTGTAGCATGAGCTGCAGCACAGAGCAGCCTGTGGGCTGACCACACACCTCCCCTTCAGAGGCCCAGCTTCCAAGACACTCAGCCACAACTGGCCTTCCAAGAGGCCAAGCTGTTGACCCCCTGGGGCCGAGGCCTCCTCTGGAAGACTCCCTCCGTGCCTTCTCTCCCGTTGCCCAGGCCATGCCGGCCAGTCTGAAGCAAACGCCCAGCACACTGTCCTCTCCTCTAACCCTCTCTGCCGTGGGCTTTGCAGATGGAGGGTGGCCCTGGATCCCCCAGCAGCGCCGGCACAGGCTGGTTCCCAGGGCAGACATACACTCATGTGGCCTGCCAGGGAGCAGACTTGGCACCTGCCTTCCCCTCACACATAGGAAGATGAGCCTATGGCAGAGGAGGGGCTGAAGGAAATGATGCCCTGCACCTGCCAAGGGGCCAGACAGCCCCAGGTGGGAAAGGCTGGTCAGCAGCCACCACCCAGGGGTACAGCTGGCAGGCCTAGTGCCATGGTGCCAAGGCATTTTCCCACAGGGATCCGCCAATGTGCAGGTAGCCCTGAGGCCATCCTGACCCTGCATGGCTGTGTACTGGCTCCGCAAGCCTGGCCTGTGGGGCCCTGGGAGCCTGTGGCATCTGCGTACCCCTGCAGTGATGTCAGTTTACGGCGGAAGCTCTGAAATCCACCAGGCAGGGAAGGAGCCTGGCCCTGACTATGGAACATGGGGGTACTCAGCCTCTGCCGGCCCTCCGCCCTGGTAGGTGGGACGTGGATTGGAGGTGGCACACCCGCAGTGCCGCAGTACCTGGTGCCATAGCCGGGGCAGCGCACACACACAGCCGAGTACTTGCTCAGTATGGGCTGCACGTACTCCCGGCCCTGGTCCTCGATGGCTGGGTCTGGCAGCTGTCTGCAGGATGGAGGGAAGTGGCAGCCATTAGTCCCTCTGTGGCCTGCCCACAGCCGGGTCTAGCCCCATCCCACCTGCTGGCCTAAATGGCTCTGGGGAGTGGCTGGGGGGGACTGCAAGGGTTGTTTTTCTACACTTTTTGTTTTTCTTTTCTTTCTTTTCTTTCAGACAGAGTTTCACTCTTGTCACCCAGGCTAGAATGCAATGGCTCGATCTCAGCTCACTACAACCTCCACCTCCTAGGTTCAAGTGATTCTCCTGCCTCAGCCTCCCAAGTAGCTGGGATTACAGGTGTGCACCACCACGCCCATCTAATTTTGTATTTTTAGTAGAGACAGGGTTTCACCATGTTGGCTAGGCTGGTCTTGACCTCCTGACCTCAGGTGACCCACCCACCTAGGCCTCCCAAAGTGCTGGGATTACAGGCATGACTCACTGTACCTGGCCTGTTTCCTGTTTCTGATCAAGGCGGAAAATCTCCATCTACCCTTAACTTATGACTCAATTGCAGAGCTTCAGCCCTAGGTGGCACACAAGCTCTCTGCCTGCCCTGAGACTGTGACAGAAGTCCACTAAAGCCAGCCATTGCAGCCAGCATCGGGACTCCAGCCGTCAGTGAGGGCAGCCAGGGCAGGTCCTGGGCCTGGCCCATGTGGCACAGTGACAGGGGACCGTGTGCACGTACAGCTGGGAGGGGCTGCTGGGCACGCCCATGGGGCTCTTCCAATGAGGCAGCGATGCTGAGGCTAAAGAATAAGGCCTCGGATCAGCAGTGCAGAGAGGGAGGAAGCAGGGGGCAGAAAGGGGTCCCGGGGGGAGGAGGGGGAGACAGGCCATGGGGGATCCTCTGAGGGGGGTGAGCTGGACACTGTGACAGCAGATGCTGGGTCACCTGGACAGGATGGTGTCCTGACCTGGGTGGGGCGGGAGGGATATGTAGGGCATCTCACCCAGCGGGAGAAAGGCTGGCTCGGGAGGCACTAGGAACCCCAGCTGGGACAACCAAGACCCCAGTGCCCTGCCCCTGAGGGGCCTCGAGGCCTATGGGCAAGGAAGTGGGTGGGGGGGCTCCCTACTCCCAGGCAGTTCCCAGGACTGCAAGTCCCTGCCCAGCATTTAGCCCAGGGTCGCTGTGGACAACACACAGGAAGCCCCATCAGTCCTGAGAGTGCTGATCCTGGCCACTTGTTTCCATGATTTGTCTCTTCCCCCTGGGTTTGTTGAGTGTCTAGAATCTTCTGGAACTTCCCGTTAGCCCTCAGCATGCAGAAGGGAGCATCCATCTGCTCCTGCCCATGTGTGTGCATCAAGCCTCTGGGTGCCCTGAACCTCTCCTGGGCGCACTGAACCTCCCCTGGGCGCACTGAACCTCCCCTGGGCCTGGGCCTGGGCCCATCTCCTGTCATCAAAAGTCCCTGCTGTTGAAAACCTCAGCTGGCCTAAGGGAACAGGTGGGGAGGACAGCACGTCCATCAGCTTCCCTGCAGCTGAGTACCCAGCCTGGGCACGTCCACGGGCCTCCTGGGGCAGCAGGGCCTGCCTTTCCCTGCCCCGGTGGGGGGAGGACACGGGGGCTCACCCCAGTGGAACCCGCCCACTCACGCCTCTTCGTTGTTGAGCACATCCAGGAGGTCAGCAATGAGCACGTCCTTGGGTAGCGCCTGGCTCCGCTCCACAGCCTCCAAGAAGAGCTGTTTCCCAAAGCACAGCTTCCTCCAGGGTGTCTCCAGCAGCGCGTTGCTCAGTCCGTAGGTCCCTGTGGGGAGCAGACAGCTGGCCGTAGAGAGGCCCTGCTGTGCCATGTCAGGGCAAAGTGCCACCTGCCACCTGCCTAACTTGGGGTATGGCTGGGGACCATGAAATCAGGCCAGACTGAGGCCAAGCCGCTCCCACGCCCCAGCACCTTCCCTATGTTCATTCCTGACCTGACGGCAAGGCAAGGAGTGGAGAACCCAATAGCTTGTGGAAGGGGCATCCACAGGAGACCACAAGGAGACCCAGCAGCCTGAATGGATGGATGAATAAGAAATGAGTAACCTGAGATCTCATTGGCAAAGGGGGCAGTCAAGAGGGAAACTCTTCACCTCACGCCCAGTTGGGGGGCCGCCTGAGAAGGTCAAGAGTGGGAGAATTAGCCACCAGAGGCCAGGAAGCACCCACCACAATCGCGCCCCTATGTGGAGAACCCCCAAGAGTGCCACATAGTGGGCACAGATGCGGGTAGGGCCTCAGCCGAGCATGGCCCACCTCTGCATACCAGTCGGGCCCCTGGCTAGGGGAGCCAGGGGTCTCGGTGCATGGAGTCTGACCTGTGGCTTCTCAGAACAAGCTCCTAGAATGGTGGCAGAAGGCATGGCCAACAGGAAGAGGGTTTCTCATGTCACAAAAAGTGAAGGGCAGGGACTTGAGGTGGAGAAGCACCTCATTCACCTCAGAGGCTCTTCTCCAGAGGCCAGGGTAGCAGGCGAGAGCTGATGGGAGCCATGCATCCCAAATGACGTGACAGGGACACTGAGACACCACCCCCTTCCCGTCAGACTTCCAGGGGAAGATCTTGACCAAGGCATTTCCCAGGAAGACAGCCCAGGCTCTGCTGGAGCCCCCAGAGCCAAGCCGCCAGCCTCAGGTGTTCCCAGGAAGATAGCCCGGGCTCTGCTGGAGCCCTCAGAGCCAAGCTACCAGCCTCAGGTGTCACAATGCTTTTTTTTTTTTTTTTTTTTTTTGCGATGGAGTCTCATTCTGTCACCCAGGCTGGTATGCAGTGGCACGATCTTGGCTCACTGCAACCTCTGCCTCTTGCGTTCAAGCAATTCTCCTGCCTCAGCCTCCCGAGTAGCTGGGATTACATGCATGCGCCACCATGCATGGCTAATTTTTGTATTTTTAATACAGATGGGGTTTCAAGTGACACGCTGGCCAGGCTGGTCTCGAACTCCTGACTTTGTGATCCATCCACCTCGGCCTCCCAAAGTACTGGGATTACAGGCATGAGCCACCACATCCGGCCTGCTTTTTCCATCATGAACAACATGGAAGACCATTCAACTGCATAGCCATGGACCAAGAATGGAGCTGGACTCTACCTCACACCATACATAAAAGTTGACTCAGGCCAGGAAAGGTGGCTCACTCCTATAATCCCAGCACATTGGGAGGCCGGGGCAGCAGGACCACTGAAGCCCAGGAGTTCAAGACCAACCTAGGCCAAATAGCAAGACCCTATCTCTACAAAACACTAACAATTAGCTGAACATGGTGGCACACATCTGCAGTCACAGCTACTTGGGAGGGAGGATCTCTTAAGTCCGGGAGGCTGAGGCTGCAGTGAGACATGATTGCACCACTGCACTCCAGCCTGGGTGACAGCCAGACCCTGTCTCAAAAAAAAAAAAAGTTAAATCAAACCGAAGACTTAAGTGAAAGACCAAAAACTCTAAAACTCTGAGAAGAAAGTATAGGGTGAAAGCTTCATGACTTTAGATTAGGCAATGGTTTCTTAGACAAGAAGCCAAAGGCATGAGCAACAAAAGAAAAAAAGAAAATCATGTGACTTCAAAATGGAAAGCTTTGTGCTTTAAATAAGAGGCTTTTAGCTAGAATCAACTATGAGGCACTCCTATAACTCAAAAAGACAACCCAAGTTGAATAACCATTTCTCCAAAGAAGATACATAAATGGCTCAACATCCCAGCCATCAGAGAAATGCAAATCAAAACCACAAGGCCATACCACTTTCTACCCACTAGGGCGGCTATCATCAAAACACAGACAACAGCAATTGTTAGTCAGGATTCGGAGAAACTGCAACCCCCATACACTGGTGGGCATGCATAACGCTTCGGCTGCTTTGGGAAACAGTTTGGAAATTCCTCAAAAGGTTAAACAGGAATACCATACAACTTTTTTTTTTTTTTTTTGAGACAGTTTCACTCTTGTTGCCCAGGCTGGAGTGCAATGGCGCCATCTCGGCTCACCACAACCTCCGCCTCCTGGGTTCAGGCAATTCTCCTGCCTCGGCCTCCCGAGTAGCTGGGATTACAGGCACGCGCCACCATGCCCAGCTAATTTTTTGTATTTTTAGTAGAGATGGGGTTTCACCACGTTGACCAGGATGGTCTCGATCTCTTGACCTCGTGATCCACCCGCCTCAGCCTCCCAAAGTGCTGGGATTACAGGCTTGAGCCACCGCACCTGGCCTGATACCATACAACTTAACAACTCCATCCGTAGGTAATTCACACAAGAGTCATAAAAACATATGACCACGCAAACACCTGTGACAGAGGTTCACAGCAGCGCTATTCACAGCAGCCCAAAGGTGAAAACAACTCCAGTGTCCCTTAGTGGATGAAGGGAAGAAACGGAAGGTACCTACTGGCTAAGGGCTCAGGGTAGCCGGTTCGGCAACTCCCTCAATTCCTACGGCTACGAGAAAAACCACTCTTGCCGGGCGCGGTGGCTGATGCCTGTAATCCTAGCACTTTGGGAGGCCGAGGCGGGTGGATCACAAGGTCGAGAGATCGAGACCATCCTGGTCAACATGGTGAAACCCCGTCTCTACTAAAAATACAAAAACTAGCTGGGCGTGGTGGCGCGTGCCTGTAATCCCAGCTACTCAGGAGGCTGAGGCAGGAGAATTGCCTGAACCCAGGAGGTGGAGGTTGCAGTGAGCCGAGATGGCGCCATTGCACTCCAGCCTGGGTAACAAGAGTAAAACTCCGTCTCAAAAAAAAAAAAAGAAAGAAAGAAAAAAGAAAAGCCACACTCTTGATAAATTCCCTCGCAATAGTAGCGATCACACACATTATCAGACCCTCCTAACTCTGACTTACAGCCCAGACCACTACAACACTGACCAGACAGAGGACCAGCCTTTACTCTTTTCTGAAAAGCAACTACAGACCTTAAGCCGGTTTCAGCAGTTCACATTGGCTGCACTCCAACTGTGTCCTAGAGGTCACCTTCGGAGGGAAAGAGCCAGATTCCACCTCATTTTAATGCTAAAACCCCGCCCCAAAGTGAACATGGGATGTATGTTACATGTATGTTTTTGCCTATTGCACAAGTTCTCAGGTCCCGTCAAAAATATGTATGGCTTGGCCGGGCGCGGTGGCTCAAGCCTGTAATCCCAGCACTTTGGGAGGCCGAGGCGGGTGGATCACGAGGTCGAGAGATCGAGACCTTCCTGGTCAACATGGTGAAACCCCGTCTCTACTAAAAATACAAAAAATTAGCTGGGCATGGTGGTGTGTGCCTGTAATCCCAGCTACTCAGGAGGCTGAGGCAGGAGAATTGCCTGAACCCAGGAGGTGGAGGTTGCGGTGAGCCGAGGTCGCGCCATTGCACTCCAGCCTGGGTAACAAGAGTGAAACTCCGTCTCAAAAAAAAAAAAAAAAAAAATATGTATGGCTTTTCCCCAAATCTGCTGAATATGTATGACTCTATTGTGTGATAAAGGCTTTGGGAGGCATAAACTCAAACTACCCTTCCCCTCCTCAGAGAGCACCTCAGTCCATGCCCGAGACTCTCTCTTCCGGGTTTGCAAACTGATATGGTGAATAAAGCTCTCTTTCTATTATCTAGCCATGCTGGTGGGCTTTTGCATGACAACACTAAGTGAAAAAAGGCAGTCCCCTAAACTAGATATTATAGGAGTCCCTTTATACAAAATGTCCAGAATAGGCAAATCCATAGAGAGCGGATTGAAGGTTTCAGGGGCTACAGAGACAGGGAACAGGGAGTGCCTGCTGCTGGGTATGGCTCTCTTTGGGGATCAAGAAAAGGTCCTGGAATTAGGTAGTGATGATGGTTGCTCAACTCTGTGAATGAACCAAAACCTACTGAATGATACGTTTTAAATGGGTGAACTGTGCTGCTAGTCAGTCGTATCTCAATAAAGCTGTTATAAAACAAAAAAAAATAAAGGCAACGTGGACCAGGTGGGACAGGATCAGGGATGAGACAGGATGTAGTCAGAGATAATTTCTCCAAAACCACCGAGCAAAAAATAAGCATCTCCGACCACTGAGATCTCAGCCTCTGAGAACCAAGGGTGTCACGGGGATGGTTACGGCGACTACCCTAGAGGCCGCTGGGCCAATGTTCAGCTTGAGGGGGTGGGAGGGAGTCTCTGATGCTTTTGCACCTTTTAGTTTCCAGTTCTCTCCTGGGCAGTCACAGGCTCAGGGTGGCCCGAGTCTACTGCCACAGACCCACCTCGCCGCAGATTTCAACCCCAGGACCCTGACTCACAGGGAGGCAGGTAGAAGAGCAGGTGCCAGCTGAGACAGCCAGAACAATCCTTTGGAAGCTCAGGACCTTCTGGGGCCATGTCCCTGCCTTGCTGGCAGCATCTGTGTCTGTGCCACTGCCCAGTTCTTAGGAGCTCAGCTGGGCCACCCACTGTTGTATCGAAGGTAGGGAGGGGAAGGCCAGGGTCACAGAGGGTGGCTGAAGGACGAGCTCCAGGTGGAGCGGAGGGCACCAGCTGGTATGCACAGGGGCAGTGGGTAGGACACACTGGGAGCCACCCTCCGGGCCAGGCAGATGCCACCTCTGAGGATCTCAAGTAGCCCAGGTGTCCAGGCCTGGGCACCACCCCAGCAAATGGGGTACAGGGCCCATCTGTGGACCAGACATCACTGGGCAGATGTGAGAAGCTGTGATGATAAGCCCGCCAGCACCATCAGTCCCCCTAGGACACAGGTGGGGTGGGGCCACTCAGCTGTCCCGAGGACTGCTTACCACCTCCCTCAGGCACCTCCAGGGACACTTGGGGCTTCAGACCCACCACATGCACCCAGTGGGAAGGTGTGCACCTGTGACCTGCAACCTCACTTGGTGATTTGTGCCAAATGCAAAAGGAAGTCTATGTGATGCAGGCACAGAGCTGCAGACGAACGCCTCCTCACAGAAGGGTGTGGGTGACACCAAGGGCACTGACACTCTCCCCAGGTGCTGGATACCCTGTGTGGGTCAGCAGCTTGGGCAGAGGGACCAGAGTGGGCATCTAAGGCACACAGTTCCATGATGCCACCAGTGGGGAGTGCCTGCGGGCAGCAGCAGGTATGGGAGTGAGCAAGCCCTGGGCCCTGGAGCCCAGGCTCTGGTCCCTACAGTTTTGTGCACCCAGGGCAAATGCCATTTCCCAGGAGTGCTGCTTTGTTCTGGCACCAGACCTGGGACAAGATGCAGACCTCCCTCCCACAACATGGCTACAGAGCGGGGCAGTGTGACACATTCTGTCCAGGTTGGGGCATTGGCAGAGGAAGCTTCCAGGAAATCACAGCACCCGAGGAGGGGGGAGAGAAAGGGCACGTAGCAGAAGGCACAGCCTGGGCAGTGGCGTAGAGCCAGGGCTGGAGGGCCCAGACATGGAGTATGACCTGGCACAGGGGAGCTCAAGGCCCTGAGGACAGGGACCGGGGAGCAGACCAGGGACCGGGTGCAAGAGATGTGTGTCTGTGCAGGGCTGCAGTGGGGTGTGTATGTGTACGTCAGGGAGCAAGAACCCCGGGTGGTGATGGTCCCAGAGGTGCTGAGAAGGGACGGGCACAGGCACCCTGGGATGGCACAGGGGGTGAGACTGGGGGTGGGCTGCAGGGCTGTGGTGGGAAGCCCAGAACAGGGGCGCATCTCGCTCAGCAGGAAAGCCCCATGGGGGGAGAGTGCAGACTGAGGTCCCTACAGACCACAAGGCCCCTAAGTCATCCTAGGAGAGTAATATGACAAGGGCCTGGTCTCTAAAAAGCACAGGGGTGACCTCTGCATAGAACAACCCCCTACCTCATCAGGCTCCCAGGACAGGCTCACCTGGAGTCAAAACGATGGGATCAGGCTCCCCTCGGTTCCCATAGTAGCAAATGACGTCTCCCTTTGCTGTGCTGCAGACCAAGGGGAGAGAGTGTCAGACGGCAGCCACGGGGCGTCCTGCCCCTGACACCGCCTGGCCATCTCACAGCCCTGCTCCTGGAGGTTGGCGATGCACACAGTAGCCCACTGTGGCCAGGCCAAGGGCTTGCAGGACCCAGCCCCTCGGGCACATGGCAGGCAGGGTCATAGAGGCCCTAGCTCTTGTCCAGCAACACGGGTATGTTCCCGGCTCACTTCAGGGCCCACTATCCAGGGAGGCAAAGCATCTAAAAGGCCCTCCTGTCTTGCCGAATGCCCGATAGCATAGATACACAGAGGCTGCCCATCCCTATGGGCACCTGCGGGGCTGAGCCCCATCCCCACTTCCCCAGCCCCTCCATCAGCACCCCCACCACAGCTCATCTCTGAGTGTTTCCAGACAGGTGGCCCCAGTGTGGCCCCAGGGAGAAGGAGGCTTCCAAAGAAAGCGCCCAAGACCACCTCTTCCTACTCTCATTTGCTAAGTGTACACTTTAAAATAGTTAGGGACAGTTGAGCTGGGCATAGTGGCTCACGCCTATAGTCCCAGCTACTCTGGAGGCTGAGGAGAGAGGACTGCTTGAGGCCAGGAGTTTGAAGCCAGACTGAGCAACATAGCAAGACCTCATCTCTACAAAATAAATTTTTAAAAAAAGAAAATAGTTTAAAATGCTCCCCAGCTGAAAATATTCCAATCCTCAATACCATAAGTCTTCCAGAACTTGGAATGCCTTTTTTGCAAAGTGAAGAGGGTCTCTTTGAGGCCTGCGAGATGCCTTCCCAGGCCGGATGCTGGGCATGAAGCCTTGGGCCTTCAAGATGAACAGATACAGAGAAAGGGCAGGGCGTGGTACCTTCCTCCCAGAACTGCTGTCCACCAGGTGGGACCCGCCTTCCCTCTACCCGCCAGTAGGCTTCAGGGGCCCCCAGTCTACGTTCACGTTCCATTCCCGTATTTTCTCACCATGGCCTTTGGCAACTTTCCCAAGATGCTTGGTTTATAATTTCAGAGACTATTTGCAGGCAGAAAGCTCCTCTGGGCTTTCTCTGTAAGGACCTATAAAACTGGATGCCTGTGTCAGGGCTGCTAGCACAGGCCAGGCGAAGGGCGGGCCTCACCGGGAATAGCTGTGGCCATGATAAGCCTCTCTCTTCCAGGCCTTGGCTTCCTCACTGGCACCCACCTGTGGGGCTACTCACTGGTCTCTGATGCCCCCGGCCCTCCAGCCTCGGCCCTGGCACCAGCTTCTGCCTGACCTATGGTATGCTCTCCTGTCCACTGCCTGCATCCTCAGGCAAGGTGCAGGAGGCTGACCCTCACTCTACAGCCTTTGGAGCCGGCAAGTTGCACAGGCTCCCACCCCCTGACCACAGGAACCCATGCACCTGCTCAGGGCATGGCACCCTTGGCACCCCACTGGCACACAGCTGCAAAGCGCCAAGTCCTGCTGGTGTCACAGCCACAGGTCCACTGTCCTGAGGCTGAGTCAGACCCACATGGAACTGCTGACTGGACAAAGTGGTTCCTGAGCATGGGGGCGTGCAGAGAGCACAGGGGCTCTGCCTCCTGGAGTCACAAAGCCATGGGCGGGAAGAAGGGCTCCGGGCAGCAAGTGGCCCGTGCCAGCCCTCAGCCCTCCACCTAGGGGATGCCGGAAATCTCTCAGCCTCCACAGCAAGTGCACAGACCCATGTGGGGCAGGGCTGGGCACACCACACACAAGGGATGCTCAAGGAACAGCAGGCCCGGAGCTCAGGAGCCAGGAAAGAGGCCCACGGACCTGCCCTTGTGGAAGGAGGTAGTTTCAGGGCCCGCCACGGTGTGCCAACAGCTTCCGGTTTGACTGTCCTGGCAGAAGGCCCCAGACTAACCGCACTTGCCAAGTTTTGGGGTATTGGAGCGGGAGGAGGACAGAAGGGACGAATGCTCGCTTCACGGAAGGGCAAAACACACAAAACCTCTGCAGTTCCCGTGGCCACATCAACGGGAGCGTCCCTGGGAGCACAGCATCCCAGCCACTCCAGGCCAGGTGCCAGGGGCTGCTCTGCACACCCTGCCCATCGGAGGGGGACACCCAGCCAGGGCCACTCTGTGCAGCTGCCCTTCTCAGCCTCGGCTTTCTCCAGGGAGCCAGCAGCCCTCACGCCATCACAGGAAGCCTTGGGCTTCACCCCCAAGTCCCCAAGTCGGTACATCTGTAACAGGCTCTATCCTAAGAATGTCTGCCAAGTCACCAGGAACAATGTCCCTGGAGAGGCTGCCACAGCCCAGTAGAACCCAGCTTCCTGATGAGCCTGAGGTCTGCCCCAGAGGCAGTGCTGGGCAGGGCCGCCAGCCCCCTCCCGCAGACCCACCTCAGGTCGGCGGCTATGAGGTTGAAGCCATTGTACAGATGGCCCTCCACAGAGACCTTCTTCAGGTAGGACAAGCTGTCCACATCAGTGGTCAGAAAGTGGGTGACAAGTTCACCTGTGGGCAGGGGACAGATGCCGTGTCCAAGGCTGCAAGGATGTGCTCTTCTCCTAGGAACACTGATGTGGGGCCCCCTGGGGAGGATGCAGGAAGATGAGGGTCCCACTGGAGCTCTGGCCTGTCATGACTGCCACAAGAGTCAGCCACACCTCATCAGCCTGGCTGCCACTCAGGTCGGCCCTGAAAACTGCTCATTTTATTAAAAATATTTTCCCCACTGTGTCTTCCGGTGGAAATCCAGCATGAAGTAAACACCTTTCAGTGACACAGCAGTCAGTGACACTGAGTGACACACAGTGAGGGTGACAGAGGAGAGTGCTCCCTGAGAGGAGTAACAGTGCTGTGTGGGTCAGGTGGGAGTGGGCTCCCGGCTGTGACGCCAGAGGGCCAGGGCATGGGAAATGGGGACGCTCCCCTCCTCACTCTTCCCGTCTCTGCCATGTAGCCCTGCAGCACACCTCAGTGGCAGCAGTGGTATGCTTGAGGAAGCCCCCCACCTGCCACAGGGCCCAGCTTTCCCCCTTCCTGTCCCTACCCTTACCTGGGCCCTTCCCTGCGTAACCTGGCCCTGCCCCATGGTACCTCAGCCCTGCCCAATCCCACACCCATACACCTTGGCACTTCTTACCCTGGCCCCCCCCGCAACCCCGCCCCACCATATATTGGCCAGTCCTATAGTCCCTTGGCCCCACCCCATCTCACCCTGTCTCACCTCGGCCCCACCCCACCCCGTCTCACCTGGGCCCGCCCCACCCCACCCCGTCTCATCTAGGCCCGCCCCACCCCACCCTGTCTCGCCTCGGCCCCACCCCACCCCACCCTGTCTCACCTAGGCCCACCCCACCCACTGTCTCACCTCAGCCCCACCCCACCCACCGTACCTCGTCCTCGGGCCTGCCGGTCCAGCTGTGGCTGCAGGTAGTTGGTGAGTGCTGCCAGCTTGCCACGTGTGCTGATGCCCAGCCATGTGCCTCCTTCCCTGCCTTCCTCCATGTCCAGTCCTGTGGCAGATGACAGTGTTACCACCACTGATGCCACCCGTTCCAGTCCCCCAGCTGGTCCCCAGCACCAGGAGACACATACTTGGCCCAGCCCCTGCCTCAAACTCCTCAAGGACATTGGACATGCAGCTTGGCCTAGCAGCCCTGGCTGCAGAACGGTGGCTGGAACTCTTCAAAGCCAGGCAGCCCCTGGGGCTCACGGGTCGGGCCAGTGAGATCCCTGCCCTGAAGGACAACAATGGCACCAACCACACCCATCCCAGAGACACCTGCAGAACACACCCTCCTACTTGGGCCAGGGTCGAGGCTGAGGGGCAGCGCTAGGCTCCAACCGCAGGAATGGGGTGCAGGGATGCTGGCTGTCCTCACCCAGCAGGAAGCACCAGGCCCAAAGGGCAGACCCTTCACTAGGAGCCCAGCACACACCCAGGGCCTTCACCCTGACCAACTCGTCTGCAGGGCAAAGGCCACTGCTAGTGCCACATGCTTGGAGAGTCCCTGAAAACCAGAGAAGGACTCCTTCTTACACCAGGGGATCACATTACCCAAAGATTGCGGCAAAAAAGGTTCTTGTTAAGATGTTATTATTTTATTTTATTTTTTATTTTTTTGAGATAAGGTCTCACTCTGTCACTCAGGCTGGAGTTCTGTGGTGATCAAACAGCTCACTGCAACCTTCACCTCCCAGGCTCAAGCAATCCTCCCACCTCAGCTCCCCAAGTAGCTGGGACCACAGGCATGTGCCACCACACCCAGCTAATTTTTGCATTTTTTTGTATAGACAATGTCTCGCTGTGTTGCCAGGGCTGGTCTCAAACTCCTGGAGTCAAGCGATCCTCCCATCTCAGCCTCTCAAAGTGCTGGGATTATAGGGGTGAGCCACTGCACTGGCTAAGATGTTATTTTTGTAATAATAATCAATTATAACAGAAAAAGAAAATAAGTAAAGATCAAAAATAAATGAATTGTATTTGCAGCCAACAGGATCACATATGAAGAAAACCCAAAAGGAAGAGCAAAACCAATGTCTTAGAACTAATAAGTAAATGCTAGCAAGAACTGGAAAATGAAAATTTAAGTATGCCATTTACAACATTTAAAAATCCTTAGCATAGCCGGGCGCGGTGGCTCAAGCCTGTAATCCCAGCACTTTGGGAGGCCAAGGCGGGTGGATCACGAGGTCAAGAGATCAAGACCATCCTGGTCAACATGGTGAAACCCCGTTTCTACTAAAAATACAAAAATTTAGCTGGGCATGGTGGCGTGTGCCTGTAATCCCAGCTACTCAGGAGGCTGAGGCAGGAGAACTGCCTGAACCCAGGAGGCGGAGGTTGCGGTGAGCCGAGATCGCGCCATTGCACTCCAGCCTGGGTACCAAGAGCGAAACTCTGTCTCAAAAAAAAAAAAAAAAGAAAGAAAATGAGGCCGGGCATAGTGGCTCACACCTGTAATCCCAGCACTTTGGGAGGCCGAGGCCGGTGGATCATGAGATCAAGAGATCGAGACCATCCTAGTCAACATGGTGAAACCCCGTCTCTACTAAAAATACAAAATATTAGCTGGGCATGGTGGCGCCTGCCTGTAATCCCAGCTACTGAGGCAGAAGAATTGCTTGAACCCAGGAGGGGGAGGTTGCGGTGAGCTGAGATGGCGCCATTGCACTCCAGCCTGGGTAACAACAGTGAAACTCCGTCTCAAAAAAAAAGAAAAGAAAATGAGTAGGCAATACATTTCTCTAATAAAAGACTCACATCCAGAATGGATAAGTAACTCTTACAAACAAATAATTAAAACATGAACAAAACTTCCAAATTTGCCCAAGCAACAAGGATCAGACTTACCCTCCTGCATAAAACAACCAAGAAAATAAAACACATGAAACAATGGTGTATTAGTCCCTTCTCACGCTCCTATAAGGGCATACCTGAGACTGGGTAATTTATAAAGGAAAGAGGTTTAATTCACTCATTGTTCACTGTGGCTGAGGAGGCCTCAGGAAACTCACAATCATGGTGGAAGGGGAAGCAAACGTGTCCTTCTTTACACGGTAGCAGGAAGGAGAAATGTCAAGCAAAGCAGAAAAAGCCTCTTATAAAACCATCAGATCTCATGAGAACTCACTCGCTATCATGAGAACAGCAGGATGAGAGTAACCGCCCCATGATTCAGTTACCTCCCACGGGGTCTCTCCTCGGCCATGAGGGGACTATGGGAAGTACAATTCAAGATGAGATTTGGGTGGGGACACAGCCAAACCGTATCAAATGAGTTTTACAATAAAGGATCTGAGAGACAGGAAACAAAGTGAGCCCACAATTAGAGAGACTCCAGGGCCTATCCCAGGGAATGGAGGGACCAGGCCAAGCTCAGCAGCCTCCCTGAGCCAAGAAGACGGGCTTAGTGTTTGGGGAAACTGAGGTAGCCAGTGTTCATGGGTGCCATAGTTTGGATGTTTGTCCCCCAGACCTCATGTTAAAATCTTATCCCCAGGCCAGGGGCGGTGGCTCACACTTGTAATCCCAGCATTTAGGAGGCAGAGGCGGGTGGATCATGAGGTCAGGAGTTTGAGACCAGTGATCTGGAGGCACTGAGAAAAGTATACAGCGAGCATCATGGAGGTGGGGAACAAGGGCAAGTGAACTAATACATGTGTGTAACTGGAGGGAGAGAGGGAGAGAGAAGACAGAAAAACTACTTGAAGAAGTAATGGCCAAATTTTTATGAATTTAATGATTTGCTTTTTTTTTTTTTTTTTTTTAAACAGGGTCTGCTCTGTCACCCAGGCTGGAGTATGGTGGCTCAATCTCAGTTCACTGCAGCTTTTATCTCCCAGGCTCAGGTGATTCTCCCACCTCAGCCTCACGAGTAGCTGGGACAACAGGCATGTGCCACCACACCTGGCTAATTTTTTTTTTTTTTTTTGTAGAGACAAGGTCTCACTATGTTACCCAGGCTGGTCTCAAGCTCGTGGCCTCCAGGGATCCTCCTGCCTCGGCCTCCCAAAGTGCTGAGATTATAGGCGTGAGCCACCACACCAGGGTGATTTCATTTCTAACAAGTTCTCAAGTAATGCTGGTGCTACAGGCCCAAGGACCACACGTGGAGAACCACTGTCCTAAACTTTTGCACACAATCTGGTGATGCCAGAGAGTGAGAGGACGTGGGCCTTAGTGATAGGGCCACCCTGACACTTGGCAGGAGCCTGTGCCCATCCGTGCAGCAGCTGCCATCACCAAATCACCACGGGGTGAACAATTCCACAAGACTGGAGCTCCTGGGCTTGGCGCTAATTCAGATGCAGCTGACAGACCTGGGTGCCAGGGAGGGATGGTGGCCAGGAGGGCACAATAATAGTCAAGGAGCCAGAGGAGGGTAACCCTCTGAACCACCATATCTTCATCTACAAAAAACGCTCCAGTTCCCAAGGACACCAGTCCCATGCCTTCACCCACCTGTCCTGATCAGCCCTGCACCCACTGCAGCATCCAATCCTGGCAGACCTAGGACCGCCCTGCCTCAGTCTCCCTGCTCCTGTCCTCCTCCCACATGACGCCACCCAGCCTCAGCAGCATTCTCACAGCACCGCCAGGCCACAGGCTACATAGAAGTACTTCTGTCAAAACCCCACAGCTGAGTTTTTATTTGACTGATTGATGGAATGAGACAGGGTCTTGCTCTGGCACCCAGGCTGGAATGCAGTGGCACAATCTCAGCTCACTGAAACCTCTACTTTTCAAGCTGGCAATTCTCCAGCCTCAGCCTCCTGAGTAGCTGGGGCCACAGGCACACACACCACCATGCCTGGCTAATTTTTGTAACTTTTTGTAGAGACAGAGTTTTGCCATGTTGCACAGACTGGTCTTGAACTCCTGGGCTCAGGCAACCCTCCTGCCTCAGCCTCCCAAAGTGTTGGGCTCATACCTGCAATCCCAACACCTGCCCTCCTAGCCCTGGAGGACAGCACAGGGCACACACAGCCTCCCTGGGCCCACAGAGTCACACATCTGGACCGAGTGGGCACCCTGGAACATGCCAGGCTGCCTTGCGCCCACTTGGCACCTGGCACACAGGCAGAGAAACCCGTGGCCCTGCCAGCTGTCTCTGCACACCTTCTAGGTAGACTCCCGCCACCCCACGGACAGGAAATGCTTCCAGTCCAAAAGGACTTCAGTGAGGCTGGTATCTTTGGAGGGGAGGGCCTGGCTCTCACCCCCACTGCTGCCCTATGAGTACACCTCGTGCAACACAGGCGTGGGGCAGGTGACAGGGCTTCAGCACCAGCTCCCCAGACTCAGCCCAGCCATCCCTGGAGCAAGGGATCACACACACACATAAACACAGGCACGCACACGCATGCATACACATGCATGCACACACTCACATGACTGGGTTGCTTCACAAAGTGACCGAATGTGGATCTGTACATCACACAAATCCACACTCACGCCCTCAGCCAAAAGGAGGAATCCAAATAAAACCAACCGATCCTTTCGCATGATGAGGCCCCCCATGTAGACCCATGGCACGGGAAGCCACTCAGACAGTGTCGGGTGGGCAGCTCTGGCGACACCCAGTACTGGGGCTGGCCACCCCCATGCTGGCCCCGACCCCAAACCCCCTCGGTTCCACCTCTACACCCTGCCATCACACTGGAAAGCAGCACCACTCGGTGAGGGTCACTGGGGCCACGCCGGGGCTGGGGAAGCACAAGGCGCACCACCGAGCACGCAGGAAGACTCACCGCTGAGGATCTCATTGTTGCTCCCCCAGAAATCAGCTAATTTGGAGGGTCGGCTGTAGAATTCGTCCCTGTTGGCTGCCAAGATGAGCCTACAAGAGGAAAGCACCGCTGACGGCCTCAGATGGAAATGAGCGAGCCAGCTCTTTTTCTCTCCCCACACACAAAACTGGCCTCAGTGGCAGTAAGGGCCAGTCTCAGAGAGGACAAGAAGCTGGCAGTCCCGCCACGCCTGCACAGGAGGAAGGAGCACAGTGGCTCCAGGTGAGCTCCCAGGAACCTGCGGCCAGGACTGCATTCGGAGCCTTGCCTGGGAAAACAGGCAGATCCTAGGCAGAGACACACATCCACACCCTCAATGGCGGGGGACGGGTTTACCAGGCCCTAAGGGGCTGGCACCAAGCATGCCTGTGAGCCCAGGCTGGAGGGTGCAGGGCTGTTCCTCCTGTCCATCTGTCCCCAGCCCTGGGAACACCCACAACAAACTCTCGGGATTCTGGAAGTGTGAGCTCAAGGACAGACTGAACAGCACAGCATGTGGGCCTCCAAGGGCTGCTCTGTTCTGCATCTTTCGGAGTTCATTTCTGGGGTTGCGGGGAGGGGATGGGAACTTCTCTGTTTTACAAGTATTTCGCATTATGAATCAAACAAATATTTCTTTTGCAATTAGGAGAGACATCTAAACTTGAAACGCCCTGGCCTTAAGGAAAAAAAACTGAGTTTCAAGTCCCAGTTTGGACACTGGAAGAACACAAATAAGGACATAGTGGTGACTGAGTGGAAGGAGTCAGTTCCTGCAACGTCCATGAGACCTGAGGGTCTAAGAAGTGATGGTTGGGCCAGGCACAGTGGATGACACCTGTAATCCCAGTAGTTTGGGAGACCAAAGTAGGATGATCACTTGAGCCTAGGAATTTGAGACCAGCCTGGGCAACAAAGTGAGACCCCTACCTCTACAAAAAAAAAAAAAAAATTAGACATGGTGGTGCATCCCTGTGGTCGCAGCTATTTAGCAGGCTGAGGCAGCAGGATTGTTTGAGCCCAGGGGTTTGAGGCTATAGTGAGCTATCACTGCACCACGGCACTACAGCCTGGGGAACGGAAAAGCTGTATCTCCTAAAAAAATAAAAAAATAAAACAAACGATGGCTGAAGACCCCCTGAGCATCTGTGCCATGGAGAGGCAGCTCCAAGGAACAGGGCCCAGCTGTCCTGCCACCACACTGTGGGTCTGAAACCAAGGTGCAGTGGTTAGATCCTGACAAGTGTCTAAAAATAATTTCCGTATCAATCACTGCACATCCATTTCACAAAACATTTGCTCCTGATGCAATGGGAAATAACAGACATTCATACCATTGAGAGTGCAACGGGTGCTTGCACCCACCACTCATGCCCTTGGAGGTGTTCATGCCTGGGTGCACACGTGTGCCCCCCACTCAGCACCTGCCCCCGAAGCTTCCTGTCTGCAGAACTGGGGAAAGGCTTTTGGTTGTTGCCAGGGACTATGCCATGCCCTAGAACCCTTGGGGTCTGCCATGGAAGCCTCGCCACCTTCAGGGTGCCCCATTCAGCCTGCTCTGATGCCCAGCTGGCCCCAGGGCTGCACCAGGTCTCGGGGATGTGCTGCCTGGGGTAGCAGGAGGTGGTCTCTGACCCTGATATGAGCCTCAGCCTTTCACAGAACCATCCTTTGTACCCCTAAATGCCATATTTCAACCCAGACCTGGTCCAAGTCTCCATGTCGCTTCTGGGCAGAGGTACCCCCCAACCTCCGCAGCAGCGATGGCAGCCAAGTCCACCTTTCCTGGGCTGGATAGTGCCAGTACAAGGCAGTGTACCTGCCCTAGACCTGCACGAGCCACTCCTGTAGAAGGTGCCCATTGGTTGTGGCCTGGCCAGCAGGCAGAAAGGAGAACACCACAGTCCCTGAGTGCTATGGTGGGGATGCGCCAGGGTCTGGGATGAGAGCTCCTCCACCCCAGGGGTGGGGTCAAGCTCCATGTGGTTCCGCTCAGCATTCTCTCTTAAATACCTTCCTCCCGGCCAGGCACAGTGGCTCACACCTGTAGTCCCAGCACTTTGGGAGGCCAAGGCAGGCGGATCACGATGTCAGGAGATCGAGACCAACCTGGCCAATATGGTGAAACCCCGTCTCTACTAAAAATACGAAAAAATTAGCTGGGTGTGGTGGTGCAAGCCTGTAGTCCCAGCTACTCGGGAGGCTGAGGCAGGAGAATTGCTTGAACCCAGGAGGCGGAGATTGCAGTGAGCCGAGATTGCACCACTGCCCCATAGCCTGGGTGACAGTGCAAGACTCCAGCTCAAAAAAAAAAAAAAAAAAAAAAAAAACCCTTCCTCCCCTGCTCCCACATTCCAGAGCAGTTGAACAGGAGCCCGGGGAGCCAGGGACACCTAAGCCCAGTCCAACCCCAAGCCAGGCTGGTGCTGTTGGCTTTGGGTGCTGATTCTGACATAATGCTCTCACAAGGGGAAAATAAAGGGAGGAAAGTCAGAAGAAAAGCTGAGTGAGCAGGGACTTCTGTCCTAAGATACTCAGCTGTCTGTTTTTAAATAAGGAGCAATCATGTATGTTTGCCTAATAACTCAGGAACATTAATTACCAGGTTATTTTTGTCCCAGCAGTCACTGTTGAGCTGAATTGCTGGTGGTTTGCCAAGGATTTCATCGAATACAAAATTCAGGGATGAGCCAGGGTGCTGAGTACCCAGATTGAGCCCCAAAGGGAGGAGAAGTAGCTCTCTCAGTCATCCCTGGTGAGGTTGCACATGAATAGCAGCCTATCTGCACCCCACGTCCGGAGAGACAGGGATGCTCCTACCATGGCAAGGTCCCCAAGGATGGAAAATCACCCTGGCTTTATTTTGTTCCAATAACTAAAACCACTAATTATTCATCACCACTTGACACTCACGCTGCTGCGGGGTGAGCGTGTGCACCGTCTGGGGGCATGAGTATGTACATCATCTCAGGGGGCGAGTGTGTTCTGCTGCAGGGTGAGTGTGTGCACCATCTAGGGCACAGTTTGGTGACAGGTAGGTAGGAGGTACTCTGGCCTGAGATCCAGTGATCAAACCCTCAGTGGTGACCCCACGGAAGCTGCCCATGTGGTAACAACTTATCCTGTAGCCACTTCAGGCTGGAGCCAGCAATGGGCATCACAAGGGGCTGTCACAGGCAGCTTTTTTTTTTTTTTGAGATGGAGTCTCACTCTATCACCCAGGCTGGAGTGCAGTGGTGCTATCTCCTCAGCTCACTGCAACCTCTGCCTCCCAGGCTCAAGCGATTCTCTTGCCTCAGCCTCCATAGTAGCTGGGATTACAGGCGTGCACCACCACGCCAGGCTAACTTTTATATTTTTAGTAGAGATGGGTTTTCACTATGTTGGTGATGCTGGTCTTGAACTCCTCACCTCAAGTGATCCTCCCACCTCAGCCTCCCAAAGTGCTGGGATTATAGGTGTGAGCCACTGCACCTGGCCGTAAAACAAGTAGTTTTGAAAGAGACAGGGTGACATGATGGAGTGACTGTGTTATCTTGCTGTGGTGTTTTGGTTTTCTGCGATGGGTATCAAATTACCAAACACTGCGGCCTAGGCCGGGCCTGGTGGCTCATGCCTGTAATCCCAGCATTTTGAAAGGCTGAGGTAAGAGTATCGCTAGGGCCCGGGAGTTCGAGATCACCCTGGACAACATAGTGAGACCATGTCTTTACCAAAAAAATAAATAAATAAATTAGCCAGGCACGTATGGTGTAGCCCCAATTACTCAGGCATGCTGAGGGAGGATCGCTTGAACTGGGGAGTTTGAAGCTACGGTAAACTATAATTGTATCACTATACTATCGCCCAGGCAACAGAGAGAGATCCTGTCTCAAAAATAATAATATACTCCATTGGGGGGAAGTTAAAAAAAAAGTAAAAAATAAAAAATAAAATAAAATAAAAGCGCAGTGGCTTAAAGCAGCCCACTTTTTTTTTTTTTTTTTTTTTTTTTTTGAGACGGAGTTTCGCTCTTGTTACCCAGGCTGGAGTACAATGGCGCGATCTCGGCTCACCGCAACCTCCGCCTCCTGAGCAGCCCACTTTTTACGCAGTCCACAGGTGAGGAGCCCGGCCCAGCCTCACTGAGTACCTGCACAAGGCCTCCTGAAGTGCTGCAGACATGCTGGCAGGGGCTCTGCAGAAGCCCCTGTGCCCCAGCCTGAAGCATGCCCTTCCCCCGGCTGGACACCCCACAGCTAGAGCAGATGCAACCACCAGAGGTGCCTCACACCCTCCCACGAAGTCAGGAAAACACAGTGCACGTTTGCTCAGTCACCCGGAGGTGGCATACTTCATCCCTGGCTTAGGCCTTCGGAAAATAGTCCAGAGAAATGCCGAGACCAACTGGACACACGGGCTCTGGGAGAAAGCACGAGAGGCCACGTCAACCCTCCTCTCTCCACTCAGGGAGTCGGGTGGCACTGACCAGAACCTGCAGGCCGGCTGTCAAACTTCCCCCCCCCAGAGATGTGAGCACCCGGGGCGGGTTGAGTCTCTTTGGCAGCCTGCAGGAAGCCACCCTGAAACCCACACGGAGCCGGCCGGCTCTCCCGAGTGCTAATTTCCTAGAGCTGCTGTAACCAAGCACCACAGAGTAGGCAGTGGCAACAACGGACATCAATGTCTCACAGCATTGGAGACTGGAGGTCCAAGATCAAAGCATCAGTAGGGCTGGCTCCTTCTGAGGGCTTCTCGGTATGCAGAGGACCGTTTCTATTTCTGTACACACACTAGCTTCCCCTGTGTGCATCTGTGTCACCTATCATATTGATTAGGGCCTATCCACCTGACCTCGTTTTGCCTTAATCATTTTTTAATTTTTATTTATTTATTTTTTTGAGACAGAGTTTCGCTCTTGTTACCCAGGCTGGAGTGCAATGGCGCAATCTCAGCTCACCGCAACCTCCGCCTCCTGGGTTCAGGCAATTCTCCTGCCTCAGCCTCCTGAGTAGCTGGGATTACAGGCACGCGCCACCATGCCCAGCTAATTTTTTTGTATTTTTAGTAGAGACGGGGTTTCACCATGTTGACCGGGATGGTCTCGATCTCTCGACCTCGTGATCCACCCGCCTCGGCCTCCCAAAGTGCTGGGATTACAGGCTTGAGCCACTGCGCCCGGCCTCTGCCTTAATCATTTTTTAAAAGAGTCATTACCTAGCTCTGTCACCCAGGCTGGAGTGCAGTGGCGTGATCATAGCTCAGGCAGCCTTGAACTTCTCTGGCTTCAAGCAATCATCCTGCCTTAGCCTCCCAAGGTGCTAGGATTAAAGGCATGAGCCGCCGCACTCAGCCATCCTTCATCACTTCTTTAAAGGCTCCGCCTCTAAATGCAGTGACATTCTTAGGCACCAGCAGTTAGGACTTCAACATGGGCATTTGCGGAAGACATGGCTTAGCTCACAACGCACTGTGACTGTGGACAGCCCAGGCCGGGGTTCTGGCCTCTCACTGGTTCTGCCTCATGGGAACGGACTCAAAGGGACTGTCCTCCCACCTCCCTGAGCACCAGCTGTGACAGCCACAGTGTACACCCTAGGGACAAGGCCTGGCAGTTTTCACCCTGGGTAAGTTACTTTTGCCTGTTTCCCAGTTAGCCGACTAGGAAATGGCAGGAGGGAAACGGTGAGTGAAGGAGCGTCCCAGGGGCTCGGGCTGACCTGAGGTCAGGGTGACCTGGGAGGTGCTGTGAGGACGTGGAGGCCTGGGGTGTGGCCCTGCTGGCTAGAGTCAGTGGAAGCAGAGCCTCTCCCAGCAACGTCCAGGCAGGCAGAGCTGTTCCGTGGATGAGCCTCTGAGTCCCAGCTCCCAGGCCCGAGGGGACTGGCTGGTGGAAAACTACAGCCACTAAAACCAAGCCTCAGGCCACCCCCAGGTATGCAACCGAGAGCAGCAGAGGTTCTGGCTGAGTGCAGCAGAAGGCAGCCAGGGCCCAGCCACAGCCTGGTGCGTGCCCAGGAGCGAGAACGCTGGTGAGCGGCTCCTTCCTGCTGCCTATGGGCGTGCTGTTTGCTCACTGCTGTCTTCTTCCTTCTCCCCAGTTTTACTCTATGTGCAGGCGGTCAGAGGTAACTTTGGAAACACAGCATCAGGTGAGGCTGTGGCTAAATCTGGAACTAATAGAACGCAGCCAGTGACAGCTTCAGGGGCCACTGGGCTATGTCTCTTTATTTGGGAACTTCTTTGCTGGTCAGATAGAAATACGGTTGCTTGGCTGGCACATGGGAGTTTAAGTGAGCATAGAAGGCTGAGTAGGAAAGCTGAGGAGCCAAAGGCTAGACCGTGACAGTTACGGATATATTGCATCTCAGCTCCAAATTCACCCTGCATCACCTGCTTTGTGATAATGGGGCTGAACATTGGCTGGTTCCACGTTAAGTTTTGTCAGAAGAGGGCGATGGAGAGATACTGGAGGAGGAAGGCTTCTTTCCCAGCTCCTGCATCCTTATCCTTTCTTTCTTTTTTTTTTTTTTTTGAGACTGAGATTCGCTCGTTACCCAGGCTGGAGTGCAATGGCGCGATCTCGGCTCACCGCAACCTCCGCCTCCTGGGTTCAGGCAATTCTCCTGCCTCAGCCTCCTGAGTAGCTGGGATTACAGGCACGTGCCACCATGCCCAGCTAATTTTTTGTATTTTTAGTAGAGACGGGGTTTCACCATGTTGGCCAGGATGGTCTCGATCTCTTGACCTCGTGATCCACACGCCTCAGCCTCCCAAAGTGCTGGGATTACAGGTGTGAGCCACCACGCCCGGCCTCCTGCATCCTTTCTCAGGAGGCTTCTGCAACAAGTGAGGCTCTCCCAGCTCTTGAGTGCACAACAGCCAGCACCCAGAAGTCAGCACCTTCCCCTAGCAGCCACCCTGTGACAGCTACCAGGCACCCTAGAAGGCAAATTTCCAGGAAGCCTTGCCAGCGTGGCACCCCAGGGATTTCTAGGACATCCAGATGGCCATGGTGTGCCCTTTCCAGCAAGGTCTGGATCTTAGCTGCGGGTGGAAGAGGGAGCTCTGCCCTGGGCACTCCAGCTCAGCCCTGGAGACAGTGGCTGGTCCTCACCCTGCTATTCCCACATTCTTTTTTTTTTTTTTTTTTTGAGACGGAGTTTTGCTCTTGTTACCCAGACTGGAGTGCAATGGCGCGATCTCGGCTCACTGCAACCTCCGCCTCCTGGGTTTAAGCCATTCTCCTGCCTCAGCCTCCTGAGTAGCTGGGATTACAGGCATGTGCCACCATGCTCAGCTAATTTTTTGTATTTTTTTTAGTAGAGACTGGGTTTCACCATGTTGACCAGGATGGTCTCGATCTCTCGACCTTGTGATCCACCCGCCTCGGCCTCCCAAAGTGCTGGGATTACAGGCTTGAGCCACCGCGCCCGGCTCCCACATTCTTTACAGTTCTGCTCACTCACGAGCCACCCCCACACGACTCCAGCCCCTGTGGCAGTCAGTGGTTCTTAACATTACCTCCACTTACCCTGTAGCATGCTGTCTGCCACCTGGACCCTGGCCTGGCCCTGCCATTGCCAAACTGCAAAAAGGGAAAACCCCAGACACACCTCCTTCCCTATTCTCTGGCCTGAAATGACTTCATTCAGTCTTGAAGTCAGGCAGCATGGTGTCTACGCAACTTTGCAGTGACTCGAATCTGAGACCCTCTTGAAATGGTTCAAATCAAAATATAGATTTTAAAATGATGAAATCTTCCCGAGCAATTCCATTAGAGAGTGGTTTCAAGTTTCCTTTTGGGTGTGGGTTCCATCGCTGCCTCATTCTCCATGTGAATAAATGCTGGGGTGTTCTGGGGAATGGAGGTGTGGCCATCCTGAGTCCAGGGTCAGGGGCGGACCCCAGCCTTGGTTTGCTGTCTCTTCTGGCTGGTCCCCAGCATCCCCTCCTCCCCATGTCTTTCTTCCTCAGCTCAGGACTCATATACAGACCTCAGGCTGGCCACCACCACAACTCAGCAGCACCTGTGACCTGCCAGCCCAAGCTGGCTCTTGCTGACACTGGCCCAGTTCTGCTGCCTGACCCCCACCTAAAGCCCATAGAACTGCAGCCCACCTGAACACGTCATTCTTCTGTCCTACCTGCATAGCTGCCTCCTGCCGGTCACGATGGCCAAGGGGAGACCTATGTTAATTCTAGCTAAATAATTCTAAGTTCGCTTGTCTCAGAGTACACTGACGTTTATACACCAAACTAAACTATACTATTGGTGCAGCTAATGAGAAATCAAGCGGCTACAGGAGGCCTAACGTAAAGACCATCCGAGGGCACAGTAACACCAGGGGACACTTCAGGGTGGTTTCAGAGCGGGCAATACTGCTCTGGGCCCACGAATGCCTTCTCAACATGGAGACTGCATGAGGGCCTCGTAAGGAGGGCTTACGCAAAAAGATCTCGGAGAAGGGAGGCGACCTCTGCTCACAAGATCCGGGAGGGTCTTTGCAGATGGGAGCTGGCAAGGAGGAGAAAAGCCTTGCAGGGCAGAGATCAGGGAACACCCTAGGCTCTGCCTGGGTTCTCAGAATAAGGAGCGATTTTTTTTTTTTTTTTTTTGAGACGGAGTTTCGCTCTTGTTACCCAGGCTGGAGTGCAATGGCGCGATCTCGGCTCACCGCAACCTCTGCCTCCTGGGTTCAGGCAATTCTCCTGCCTCAGCCTCCTGAGTAGCTGGGATTACAGGCACACGCCACCATGCCCAGCTAATTTTTTGTATTTTTAGTAGAGACGGGGTTTCACCATGTTGACCAGGATGGTCTCGATCTCTCGACCTCGTGATCCACCCGCCTCGGCCTCCCAAAGTGCTGGGATTACAGGCTTGAGCCACCACGCCCGGCATAAGGAGCGATTTTAATTGCTCTACGTCCCTTGACGCATTGGGAGTGGTCAGACTGGGTAATGCAGCCACACCCTGACAACAATTGGTGATAAACTCAGAGTACTAGCTTGGCGTGTCTTAGAAGGATCTCAAGTGTTCTCCCTGAAGGCTATCTTTTTTTTTTTTTTTTTTTTTTGAGACAGAGTTTTCGCTCCTGTTACCCAGGCTGGAGTGCAATGGCACGATCTTGGCTCACCGCAACCTCCGCCTCCTGGGTTCAGGCGATTCTCCTGCCTCAGCCTCCTGAGTAGCTGGGATTACAGACACGCACCACCATGCCCAGCTAATTTTTTGTATTTTTAGTAGAGACGGGGTTTCACCAAGTTGACCAGGATGGTCTCGATCCCTTGACCTCGTGATCCACCCGCCTCGGCCTCCCAAAGTGCTGGGATTACAGGCTTGAGCCACCGCACCCGGCGTCCCTGAAGGCTATCTTACCCAACTCCTTGACCCTCTCCTTCCATGCCCGTAGGATCAATGAGATTATGCACATAATCAAAGTGTTTGGAGCCCAGAGCTAGGGGCCAACAGGGTGAATTCTACTCTTGTGTCTCTGTCTTTATTTCCTTTTCTCAATCTCTCGCCACGCCAGGACGAACAGCACCCATGTACGGGGCTGGGGCTGGTACCCAACACCTTCTGTGGCCGAGTCTTCACATCTTTGTACATCAGTTAGAGTCCCCACCCCGAGAGGCATTCTGACAGCATCCCACACTGAGTGACCCTGTCCGGGAGGGCAGTGCCAGGCCTGTGCAGCCCCAGCCTGACCCACACATCTTCCCACGTACAGCAGCCCAAGTGGCAGGAGACCTGGCTGGGCACCTGGGACCCTGCAAGGCGCAGCAGACGCAGAGTGAAGGGGGTTACCTGTACGCATTTTTTGAAACAGGGCGAGGATCAAACTTAAAGAAGATGATGCACATGGTGGTGCAGGGCAGCTCTGCTCACACGGGTCGCGAGGTCTGTGGGGAGAAGGAAAACGCTGAGTTGAGTGGATGGCAGACAGCAGGGCCACCGTCCAATCCTGCAGCAAGCCGGAACAAAACCACGTCTGTGTTGCCTGCAGCGCTTGCCGGGTGTCGGGGAACTGCATGCTGGACACCACACCGCTGGCCTGTGCCACACAAACACCTCCCAAACCCCCACGCTCATCGGCACTGGCCAGACTCTCTCCACCACCCGCAAGGCTCAGGGGCCCAGGCCAGAACTACCTCCCACATCTGAACACCAGCCCTGAACAGAAGCATCCCCTCAGCACCGTGGCACTCTCGGGGCGTGGATACACCAAGCTGGGGGGTCCTGAGTGGGCCCCAGGGGGCAGCAGCAGAGACGGCAGGAGCCACATTGTGAAAAACAAACTTACCCATCCAAGCCTAAAGAATGGACTGAGAGACCCAGAGAAGAGAAAGTGAGACTTTCAATGACAGTCTTGCAAGATCATGTGTCCTACAGGCAGGCACACCCAGTTTTAATAAGCAATTTCTCCCCTAGTGTGCAGGTCCCTCCCTGGTTCCTCACAGGCTGAGTACCATGGGGTCACAGTCTTCCCGGACGTCGCCTGTTGATTGTTGCGAAGGGGCTTCGGGTGTTTCTTTTTCAGGGTTGTTTTGCCGTATATTGCTGCAGCCCACAGTGCACTGCAATCCTAGTTAGCTCAGAGGCTTTTTAAGTATTTAACTTACCACCTAAGTAGCAGGGTAGGCTGATACGAACAGACAAAACGAGCTATTTTGCACGCTAGTAAACTTTCATCTTAAACTAAACTTTGGTTTGGGTGAAGGCAACTACATGGGGGAAAATGGGGGAAAGAGGAAGGCCGATAAGCACGCATGGGCTGTCCAAGCAGGGGCCTAGTAGATCCTGTTTCTTCTGTAGTTTGCTCACCTAAGCCCATTTAAGACATTTTGTCCAGGCCAGGCCCAGTGGCTCAAGCCTGTAATCCCAGCACTTTGGGAGGCCGAGGCGGGTGGATCACGAGGTCGAGAGATCGAGACCATCCTGGTCAACATGGTGAAACCCCGTCTCTACTAAAAATACAAAACATTAGCTGGGCGTGGTGGCGCGTGCCTGTCATCCCAGCTACTCAGGAGGCTGAGGCAGGAGAATCGCCTGAACCCGGGAGGCGGAGGTTGCGGTGAGCCGAGATCGCGCCATTGCACTCCAGCCTGGGTAACAAGAAACGCCGTCTCAAAAAAAAAAAAAAAAAAAATTAAAAAAGAAAGAACCACATAATGAAAGCAGCACCATGAGCAAGAACCAGCAGAAAGATACCCACACACATATCATCAACCAACCATGCTCTGATGGCAGCAGGAAAACAGCTCAGAAACATCTGCAGGGGAAAGGAAGTGATAAGAGCAAACTGGGTTTACAAAGCAGGAAAAGGAACTCTTTTTTTTTTGAGACCGAGTTTTGTTCTGTTGCCCAGGCTGGAGTGCAATGGCATGATCTTGGCTCATCACAACCTCCGCCTCCCCAGGTTCAGGCAATTCTCCTGCCTCAGTCTCCCCAGTAGCTGGGATTACAGGCATATACCACCACGCACAGCTAATTTTTCTTTTTTTTTTTTTTGAGACGAAGTCACACTGTCACCAGGCTGGAGTGCTGTGGCAATCTTGGCTCACTGCAACCTCTGCCCCGCAGGTTCAAGCAATTCTCCTGCCTCAGCCTCTCAAGCAGCTATGATTGCAGGCATGCACCACCACATCCAGCTAATTTTTGTATTTTCAGTAGAGACAGGGTTTCACCATGTTGGCCAGGATGGTCTCCATCTCCTGACCTCGTGATCTGACTGCCTTGGCCTCCCAAAGTGCTGGGATTACGGGCGTGAGCCACCGTGCCCAGCCAATTTTGTATTTGCAGTAGAGACAGAGTTTCTCCATGTTGTTCAGGCTGATCTCGAACTCTTGATCTTGGGTGATCCGCCTGCCTCAGCCTCCCAAAGAGTGCTGGGATTATAGGCATGAGCCACTGCACCCGGCCAACAGGAACTCTTAGGAAGTTCTTTTAGAAATGAAAGCTTCAGTGACTGCACATTAAAGCTCAGCTATGGGTTTAAGAGCAGATCAGGTGCAGCTGATGAGGCAGAACCATCCTGAATGCAGTGCAGGAAGTTGGGGAGCACGCTGAGCTTTGGAAGTGCTCCCAGGTGTCCACTTGCTAGGTGCCACTGACAGGGTGGGCCCAGCACTCACCACGTGGCCAGAAGACACAAGTCAGCTCACTCTGGAGGAGCTGGTCTTTCCTGCACATGAGAACCCCTGGCTGCAGTCACTAAAGAAGCCCTGCCAGCCGGTCCCTACTGGAATCCCACTGGCCTGGAGCCCGAGGCCTGCTCACCAGGGACATGCTCCTCTGGGGTGTTAAGAGAAGGCCACTGGTCTCAGCTTCAGCTGACCTCAGCCTTCCCTGGGCTGCACGCCAAGTTGCTTGCAAGGCCATGGACGAGGGCAGTTCTGGCCATTGATACCCACAGGCCCAGACGGAAAGGCACCTCCAGTTCAGCTGCAGGACCCTACCATCCTAGCTGGCCAGGGTGCTGGGGCAGCAGACCAGCCCTCCAGGCACCAGTGGTAGGGAGGGCTCCGTGGTCCAAGGAAGGCCATCAACGGATCTCTGGGCAGCTTGGCACTGGAGGTGTGGGCGCAGAGCCCAGGGCTGTGGCCTCGACGAAGACGCGGTCATTGGGAGGGAAGGACCAGAGGAAAGCCAGCCCCTGGGGAGGGGACCATCAGGAACTGCCTTTCTCTCCAATCCCTCGCCCCCTGCTCGAGCCAGGCCCACTGCCCACCAGCCTCCGACCCAGCTCTGGCCAGCAGGTCTCCCCCTTCCCCCACCAGCTTCACCTCCCCTAACCTGTGATCTTGCCTTTGCCTGGGCTCCTCTGTGTTCCCTGAGCCAAGCCCTGCAGGTTCCCTAGGTGCAGCATGGCCCCCACGCAGGCACACGACAGCATTCTAACACCCTCCCATGCCTGCTGACTTGCTGGGCTTTGGGAGGGAGCCGTGGATATAGTCCTTGTCCTTTTGGTCACCACATCTTGACCTGGGCACCGGGCAGGTGGGCACACAGGTGGCCAGGACCATTTCCCACAATTTACACACGTCCCATCACACCAGGTGAGGCTGGGCTCCTCAGGGCATCTCTTGTGCCACACAGAGCTCACCCTCAAGGGTGCCCGAGCTGGCCAACTCTACAGGAGAATGGGTGTCCCAGGGAGAAACGTGCCTGGCTTTCCAGGTGATGCCCCACCCTGCCTGTCCCTACCTGCCCGGGGCTCAGCACTTGGGCCAACCCCATAGACTCTCTGCATGTCCTTGGCGGTCCAAGAAGGCCATGCAGGGTTGGTCCTGAGGCCCAGGTGGCCAGAGCCAGACCACAGAGAACAGCTGGAGGAAAAGGCAGGGAGGAGGGCCTGGGATCCAGCCAGCAGCCTTGCCCCGGGCCTCAGAGACCACAGCCCAGTGGCATCTGACTATCTGTAGGAAGCCACACCCAGTCTCTGAAACCCTGAGGGCAGCCTGCACATAACCAACAGGCTTGCAGAAGTAGTCAGATGGCCACAAGCCCATCCCCTCCAGGCAGAAAGTGCTCACTCCCCGGCATCCCCTCACCTGGCCTCAGGATAGCAGTTGGGGAAGCAGGTTACAGGGCGGGTGGGGCAGAAACTGCAAAACCCAGCTCTCAGGGCAGGTCCAACCCCAACCTGAAGGAGGCTGGGGAGGGCACCACAGGTGGGTGATGATGCTGAGGAGCTCCTCCCTGTGCTGTGCGCTCTGCAGCTGTGATCCCAATCCACCAAGAGTCCCAGGTCACATGGTGGGGATGGGCAAGGTGAGCCTGGAGGAGCTCATGGAGGGGCACCTGCAGGTCGGACTCGGGGTGAAGGAGTGAGGTGGCCACCCCAACCAGGCACATATGGGATGCTGGAGTCAAGTGGGCCTCCTGGACCTTGCACCCATGCCCTGACAGCCCCTCAGAGAGCCAGGATGGCCTCAGCACTAGATTTGCTCATCTGCAACTCTGCTCTGCCCAGCCACGCTGTGGACACTCCTGGAAGCCAGCATGCTGCCTTCTGCTCTCCCACAGCAGTGTCTGCTGTCCCCACCAGGGTGCAAGAGGTCCCTGGGCAAGGTGATGATGGGCAGCCAGCTTCCTCCTGGCCATGGTGGTCACTGTGCTGACGTGCGGTCCTACGGGGGGCATCATCTTGAAAGCAATTGGCACGACACAGGTATATGGCCAGGCCTCGCCAGGCCCACGGGGATGTAAAAGCCCAGATAGTTGGCCCAGACTGAGAACAGGAGGCCGTGTGGGCAACAGTCAAGAGGAGCCACACTCCAGGACTGAAAGCAGAGCCTGTGAGGGGGACAAATGACCTGCCACCAGCCCAGGACACCAGCCCAGCGCAGCAGGACAACAGCGCATGGTGGTGAGGTTCCTGAGCCAGGACAAGAAAAGCAGTGTCCGTCTCACAGCTACTTCAGGAAGCACGTCACTTCCACTCTGCCATCCAGGTACAGTCACGTGATCGTGGCTCACTGCAGCCTCGAACTCCTGGGCTCAAGCCATCCTCCCAATTCAGCCTCCCAAGTAGCTAAGATTACAGGTGCATGCCAGCACACTTGGCTAACTTTTTTCCTTTTTCTTCTTAAAAAAATAATAAAAAATAAATTAATTAATTTAAAAAAAAAAAAAAAGATGGGGTCTCACCAAGATGGCCAGGCTGGTCTTGAACTCCTGACCTCAGGTGATCCACCCACCTCGGCCTCCCAAAGTGCTAGGATTATAGGTATGAGCCACCGCGCCCGGCCAACCCAGGCTGTTCTCAAACCGGTGGGCTAAAGTTCTTCTCCTGCCTCAGGAAGTCTTATGACTGGTTAGTAGAAGTGACATCGTTTTTAAAATTTTTACAGCAAGCGCTGGCCGGGCGCAGTAGCTCACACCTGTAATCCCAGCACTC